CAAAATAAATTTTTAAACAGTTTTTAATTATTGACCCATGACTAATTACATTACATATGAAGTTAAAGTCTTAATTGAAGATGACTTAATATCGGGTTTAAGTCAAAGAGAGGTGGCTCTTAAAAGAAAGGTTAGTAAAACCTTAGTATGCAATATTAATAAAAAGTTAAAAAATGGAACACCACTGGGAAGGAAATTTGGTTCAGGACGACCTGAAATATTGTCTGATGAATTAAAACGTCAGTTATTCTTGATTTATGATAAAAATCATAAAGAATCTTGCCTAAAGATTACACAGAAATTTGTCGAAAAGTTTAATGTACAAATTTCAAGACAAACTGTGTCAAGAATTCTATCTGATTTTAGTTTAGTTACTCCCAAACCAGCGAAAAAACCACTCTTAAGACCTATTAATATAGAAAAAAGACTTAATTTATCAGAAAAATTTTTAGGGATTTCACATTAGACCTTAAAAACAATAATTTTTACTGATGAGTGTAAGTTTAATCTTTTTAATAGCGATGGTATTAAGTATATGCGTTATTTTTCTGGAAAGAGGTACAAACCTGAAAATACAATTCCAACAATCAAACATGGAGGTGGATCAATAATGGTTTGGGGGTGTATCTCATATGCCGGAGTTGGAAGAATTGTTTTTATTGAAGAAACAATGACAGCTTCAGTGTATAAGCAACTTTTAGCTAATAACTTGAGACAATCTGCTTGTGAAATGGGTCTTAAGGAATTTATCTTAATACAAGATAATGATCCTAAGCATACCTCAAGACTTGTTTCCAACTGGTTAGATGAAAAAGAGATTCAAGTTTTAGATTGGCCACCACAAAGTCCAGATTTAAACCCTATTGAGGCAGTCTGGGCTCTTGTAAAGTGTAAATTAGCTCAATTTGGTAAATTAAAAAAGATGAATTGAAAGAAAAAATAAAAGAGATTAGGTATAATATACCAAATAATTTGATCCAGAAGTATGTTAATAGTTTTCAGAAGAGGTTTCTAGAGGTGTATAAAGCAAAAGGCTATAACACTAAATATTAAATTTAATTCTGGTCACGTTTTTTTGGACAATTTTT